ACAAGGCGGCTGGGGGGAAACGTGATTTCGCGGATTTTCGCCCAGCCGCCTCCCATATATATATTTCCTTTCCGCGTAGAACCGTGCGTTAACGTTCCGGCAATTAACCTTCCGACAATTAACGGTCTTAATGGACTATCGGGGCGATATCGAGTACACATGTTCGTCTTAAATGTGTGTATAAGTCGGTTTTCTTTGATAATTAAACCGTCATCGGCGCAATTAATATGATTTTTATCATTTCGTCGGCGAGTCACGAAATAGATCTCACAGTGTACGCAGCCTTTCGTGGCAGGGCCGCTATTTAATTACGCGGAGTGCTTGGTGAGAAGAACTCACTCACACATATACTCACTCTCTCTCTTTCTCTCTCTGTTCCACTCTCCCTACCCCCACATATCACTAGGCTAGTGCTACATTTCGCGAAAAGCCCAGTCCGCCAGCCCGGGGGAAAATCAATAATACCTTTAATCCGTCCCGGTGAAATAAGCTCGCGCTGAGTTCATTACCGCGCGGTTACTTTAACCCGCGAGAACACTCGGTGCTTTTGGGGCGACGCGCGACCCACGCCAGTATTTTTCACCGTCCGCGTGAAGTTTCGGCGCTTGCTATTAATCGGCGAGCGTTTGCGGCGAGAAAAAGCGGGTCTGTCGGATCGAACGATTCGATCCGTCATTTATCAACAATGAAACTCGCGAACAATTCTCCAAGTGGACGAGTGGTTCTTCTTTTTCCTGGCGTTTTTTACGCGTCAAATGGAAGATAACTGTCGCAATGCGCTCCTTCGGGGAGATTTAGATTTCGACAGAGGCTATAAATTTCACCGAGGTTTCGATTAAGTATAAAGGGGACTCTATTTCGAAAAGATTTATTACAATCTTTACAACCACTGAAATTACAACCATTGAAAGATCCATTAATATTAATTGTCACAACGGGGCTCGTCACTTTCGACAATTTTTAGCAACGATGTCTCATCGTTGCTTTTTTTCTCAATTTTTTATTTCTTACTATTCTTAATTGATCAAAGAGGTGAGGCAACGAATTAAAAAAAAATCTATTTCGCAAAGCTACTTCCCATTCCCGCCGGGAGGTGGGAAGGTGGACGGGTGGCGGCCAGGTGAAATTACTTTCTGAAAGGCAAAAGTCCGAACTATGTTTCAGTAACAAAATCCAGGTCGGAATTTACCTTCGTCATGGATAAAAAATTTTTGAAAGCAGGCAAATTTGCTGTCCCCTTGTAGGAAACAGAGGAACGAAATGGACTTTAACTGTCAATCGCGATCTCACTATTTTTCGCAAACCATCGCCTTGACATTTCCCTCGAGATCCGGCGGAATTTGTTGACTCCGAAAATTAACCGCGTAGATCCATCGGGTTTAATGTCGCGCCGACATAGCTCGGGGCTTACGTCACGTGCGAGAAATAGGATTCGTTCGCAGGTTCGACGTGTGGAGGTCGAAGAGATCGCATTGTCCGGTCCACTCCATTCGCGCGTAAATCAATCCGCGCGCGGTAACGCGCGTCGCGCCCGCTGACACGCGCGGCCGCGAAATAAAATTACGATTTGTAAACGACGGTTGTATCAACGTCGGCGGCACGCTCGCGAACGGCCGTGCGGAATTGATCTACCGCCGTCTATCGCGCGGCCGCGTTATCCTATGAGAGCGGCCGCTCGATCGAGCAGAACGTAAATCAAAGGAACGAACGGCGACAGAACGCGATGGTAGCCCGCGCGATCAAGCCCTTCATTTGCCGCCATCCTCTTCAAAAACGCGCAAATGTCGCGCGATCGAAACGCGCGCGAATCTTTCGCGACGTGGGGACCGCGACGTGTTACTCTCCCCCGACATTCCGTTATTTGAAAAAGAGAGGTTCGAAAATTAAAATTTCCTGTAACACCAATAGTCGGGAAGGTCTATCGACTTATTTCGAAATGAATAACAACGTCATGCGCAGCTCAATGTGCCTCGGACGTGTGTCGGGCCTCAAGGAGGAGCACGCGTGGTCGCGTTGGCGCACCGCGTGCGCCCCCTGTAATTTCACCGAAACTGAAGCTTTAATCGCGAATTTCGCCTCGTCTGAGCGCGAGATCGGCGACGAGAGGCGTCACTGACGCGTGTCGATCGCACGCCATCCCGTTCCAAGGTTAAGGGCAGTCGGCATTGTTCGGAAATTAATGAGGCATCGCGCGCGACTGTGAAAAAAGACGCGGTGAGACACGTTGTTTGAGAACATTCTTTCGGAAAAAATTATACTTTCCCGGGGAAGTTGTTCACCTCGCGGGGAGAGGGGGGGAGATCCTGCGGGGTGATTTGCGCGACCGATGCGCACCGCAAACTGGGCAATATGCAGGCCGTAACGCATACGTGCGCGCCGCATGGCGTCGCGGTGTTCGCAATTGGGACACTTCGCGGCGCGCACGAGCTGCATTGCGGACCATTCGCGGCGTTCCCTCCCCGAAAAAGATGCAAGAGGCAGCCCGTTATGAGCTTCCTCCTGACCGACGGCCTGCTCGCCGTTCGTTCGTCGAGAATTTCTTCGGTGTGCGCGCACGGGAAAAAAAGAGCGACTCCCACGAGTAAAAATCGTCCACATACAGCAACCTCGTAGAAATTTCATGCACTTTTCGAGCAGTTGTTTAACTGGGCAGTATTATTCAATGTTGCCTGCGCGGAAAGAAATCAGTCTTAAATGAAGAATAGGCATTCTCATATGTACAAGCAAGAATATCACAGTCTTGGTAGGTTTTTAGTCTTGGCTTGATTGAATTTATATCGGTACGATATTACTTGAAATCAATTTAAGGGGAGTCGTCTAAGAAGATTACGATATCCTTGCTTGCAACTAAAAACTGGATCCGAACCGAATTGAATTTCGGTTGTACGGTGTACACGGACGGATTAATTCCTCTTTCCCGCGTGCGTGACGTGTGTGTTGCTTTCGAGCCGAAAATTCTCGCGTGACAATTCGACCGACGGCCGGAGTCGATATCTCTGTTTTGACGTCGCGCTTCAAACATTAACGCGCAATGCGCCGCCGCGGGTGTCCGTCGAAGAGCCCCCTCCCCGTTCGACGTCGTTTCTGGGCCGGGTGTCAAACAGCCGTGTTCAGTGTCAAACGGAGGCACGAATGAATTATATTCGCGTATCGATCGCGCCTCCAGATCCGAATTACAGCGCGATAAGCCCCGTTTACTCTCAGCCTTCCCGGCGTACATACGGACGTTTTACCGCGCGGAAAAAATGACGTTGGAACAAATTACACGATACACAGTCGGTCGATTCTCCCTCGCGATAAATAAGATTGCATTATTCGATAGCTCGCCGCAGGCACGAGATATCGTAATTGACATCTGTCTAACCACCGGTCGGTGGTGCTGCAACGCCTCGGTTGGAAATTCCTCGGCCGACATGACGGACGTAATCGCATTCCGCCGACGGAGATTTCCACCGGGGGATGCGGGAACGGGACGGAAAAGCGCGCGCACGAGGCGCGCTCGGGAAACATAATCGATAAATCGCGCGCCCGATGACGACTTTTCCGTTGGACATCGGTTGAGATAAGGAACACTGCGGAGCGCGACGGTGTGCGGGCCGGGAAGTACGGGAAACAGTCGAGATTCTCTCCTCGGCACACGTCGCGTCGCCTCGTTTCCGGCGTTTCATCGCGGGACACACGCGCGCTAACGATATCGCCGGTATAATCGGCAAATATTTTCATTTCGCGTGGGATCGTTATTAAACTAAACATCCCATCGCGCACTTTATTCGAAAGTGCAAAGGAGGTCTCGCTCGCGCACGCGTCGTGATAATAAACTCCCCCTCTCCTATTGTAGCGCGAAACAAAGAGCCGGAAGATGCGTAAATTTTAGCCGGCCCTCTGGAAATTGTTGCCGGCCCACGTTGTGTTTTTCACACGCACACATGCGTACACACGCGCGCACACACGGCGAGCCGTTAATGTCTTCGCGAAATCCGCGAAATCGAAATAGAGGGTGCCGTCGGTCGAGCCGGCGAAGCTTTTACCGAAGCTCTCGCCGAGCCGTTCGCAGCCGTTCGGAGCTTTCACTTAACTGTTTACTGCTAATGAAGCTATCATTATCCGGACGCTAACGCCGGGGAACTTTTACGGAGCCAATCTCGGCGACTTTTAGGAGGTGACGACGGTCGCCTTTTATTTCGATACATACGCGTGATGCTTGCTTCCGGAGACGACGCGCTCGAGGATTCACCTCGGGATTGACTCGGCAATATCCACGAGGTGTCTGGAGGCATTAGGCATGTTCTTTACGACTCAACTGGCTGCAATAGCTTGCGCTATTTTTCTCTTTGCACGAAATCACGGTTACAGGGTGGTCCCGGATCAACGTGGGCGAAATTGATTTTTCAGATTTGTGAGCCGGACAAAAAGCCTCCTCCGCTATTTTGCTAACGATCGGATAAAATGTCGAGTTATTAATTATTGAATGGCCATCTTCGATGATTAATAACTCAAAATGTTGCGTGGCTGTTTGCAAAACGTTGGGGGACTTTTCCGTCGACAGTCTGACAGTCCGTTCTACGCCCTCGCGAAATTTCTCCATGTTGATCTGCGACACCCTGTGTACCCGTTTCTTTTAAGTTCCCGAAGTGTGCACTGACAGCGACAAAGAAGAGACCTATACCTCCGGGCGAATAACGACCTCGTGATTTCGGAAAAGGTACGATCGAGATATCTCTCTTTCTCTCGGTAAGACGACTCAGAGGGGAGCTTCTGCGGAGGGTCCCCGCTCGGAGCCGCGTCTTCCTTCTTCCGTTGCCACGTAGCCTCCGAGATTCCTCGCGAGCAACGTTCGTCACCTCCCAGCGCGCGCTAACGGGCACAGGTACGACGGGGAGGCAACGATATTATCCCGCGACATTATCCTGAGGCGCGCGATCTCGCGGGACTCGTCGGCCCGCCGTGCGCGTCGCGACTCTCTCTCTCTCGCGCACGCCGCTCCCGACGCCGGTACTCACCCAGAACATGACGTTAAATCCGAAGATCACGTACTTGAGGCAGCAGCTCACCTCGCTGGTATCCCTCCGGTACTTCCGCACGGCGGGCATGGCTGAGAGACATTTATCTACCGGTCGTACAAACCGCACGCATACGTGGCCAACACAAACAACACAGAGCGGATGTACGCGCGCGTTGCGACGAGAGACACGGCGCGAGCGGAGGAAGAAAGGGGGTTGCCGGCGGGGGGAGCTGGTATATACGGTTATACTTCACATACAACAACGAGGGGGGCCACCTTCAGCACCTTCGGCGCCGATCACGAGGACGACATGGCCAGCGTGCGCGAAGGGCTTTTGCCTCCAGCCGCCTCTTTCCCCGATCGGCTCCTTTTTCGGAACGTCCGCGCGCTCTTTCTCTCGTTCTTTCTCTCTCCCCCTCACTCTCTCTTTCTTTCTTTCTCTCTCTCGCTCGCTCTCTCCCCCTCCCTCAATCTCTCTCGCTCGCTCGCTCGGACTCGGTCAATCAGCTGATCACAGTAACGCACCGTTCCGCAATTACGACTGCCGCCATTGTCACGTCACGGCGCGCACTGCTCACAGCCGGATCAACGAGACTGCCAGTGAGTCTCCGCGGTCTTCCCCTCCCCCCGCGCTCTACTGCACAGTGCGCGCTCCGCCACCCCCGTGCTCGCTCCCTTCCTCTCGCGGGCTCTATTTCCCCTCCGCGGTGTGCGATGCGTCGCGCTCCCACCTGCGCGTCGCCCCGTCGGTCTTTCTCTTTCGCCCTTGCCCGATCCCCTCCGTGCCCCCCGCCTCTGCCCGTCTGGCTACCTTCCCCTACCTGGCGGCAGCCCCCTCTAATATGTCTCTCCCTCCTCCAGGAGCGGCTCTAGGTATAAACAGAGAGAGAGAGAGAGAGAGCGCGTGCTCTCGCGGAAGGATTGTCTTGAGATTCGTGCGGAAATTGAATCTGGCTTTTCTCTTTGTCGCGTCTTCGTCGTGTTCTGGTAAATTAATGTAATTACGTGACGATTGGCGAAGGGCGACCCTCGGTCTTGCAAAGTCGCGAAAATAATCCACCAGTGTGGATCCGCTGAAGAGTCCCGAGCGTATCTGTCGACGATAAACGCCGCGATTTCCATTAATCGCTGTCGGAATGCAGACGGCGGAAGAGGGCACGTTTGGCGATGAAGCCGTAGATTGAAAAAATGCCACGTTCAAACCGTAAATTTCGTCATAAAATAATCGTGAGCGGGTTGTTTTAAATTCGTTAAGAAAACCCGACAACGGGGAACGGACGGGAATTTCCGACACGGAGATTCGCTGCAGGCGAAAGGAAATTCAGAGCCGATCCTGCATCTCCCTCGCGTTCCCTCTCATTCGCTCTGTCTCCGTCGCTCTTTCCCTGTCACTCGGTGGCCTTCCACCCCCGCTCTCCCCGTCCTCCCATCGAGTTCCCCTTCGCCGTCTTCACTCCGCTCTACCCTCATCAGACTCGTTGTCATCCTTCTTCGTTTTCCCTTCGTCTCTTCTTCTACCTCCCTCCCTCCCTCACTCCTCCTCCCCCTCCCCTCCCTCCTCTCACGAACCCTTCTCGTTCTCTTCATCATTCGCTACGTCCTTCTCTCCGGCGACTGTCTTCCCTTAAGCTACGTCTCCATTAGCGCCCTTTTCACGTGCGCGCTTTTTTGCGATTTCGCGCCTAACGCGATCTTACGTGACCCTCTCTGCGAACATCGAGCTTGCAACTCCACCAACTGATCGATCGATCGATCGATCTGCTGAGATCTTCGATCCACCTACACTAAGATCTTCCTTAATTTTTCATCACCTACTCTCTCTCTCCCTCCCTCCCTCCTTCCCTCCCTTTCTCTCTCTCTCTCTCTTTTTCTCTCTCCTGTATGAAGTTTATCAAATTGGTCTGTTCTTTTTCGCTGAGTTGGCTATGCCAATTCAAAAAATTTACGCACACTGAAGCGTGAGAATCTCGTACGTTTCGTATGCTTCAATGTGTGTATTAATTTCTTGAAGTAGAACAGCTAAAAAGACCAAATGTTTCTTTTATCAGATTACAGCGGACACATGTTTTGAACATGAAACGAAATTCTCGTCATGACTCATCGTAATTGCGTCGTTCCTACCGCGATGGAAGAAGCTATCTGATCCTTTTCCTCGCGAGAAGGCTACATCCTCGTCATTCTTCGGGCATTTCGCGCATAGTTCGAAACGGTAACTCTTTTTCGTTTTACGAGGGTACAGGAATAATATTCGCGAGAATGTCCGCCCGTAGAGTTTTGACGACGCCTTCGTGACGACAACGCGATTCCAATATCGTCATCGTGTGCACGCTTCACTTTCGCTTCTCGAAATATACAAACTCCTCGGCTTAACCGAGATACAATTAAAATCCAATTGACTCCCTAATTGCCACGTCAACACACTTGAAAACAAGACTATTTATAAATGCTCAAAAGTCCTCTTCTGACACGTATTATTTATATCACGGAAAATTCTAGATGAAAGTAGAACAGACGACTTGTTCTATTTATTTTGGCCCCTCTCTGTATTCTAAGCGAGTATCTTTAAGAGAGAAGGATGTAAATCGAGATGTTCAGTTCCTTTCAGGGATATTCTGCGAAAATCCGAAACATCGCAGACGTTTAAATTGCTACAAATAAATCGTATCGGATTGAAATATTCTCCCGGGGAGTTGTAGCTTCTTGTATCTATTTCTTAATATTTTCTATTTTCACCATGTGATCCCAATAAGCACCAACTAATATTACATTAATATTATGATTTCTCACTCAACAATGTAAGTGCAGTATAACATGCGTGGGATCTAACAGTTACATGGTCGAGTGGGAAATTATGGTTGTAATATATTACTGTTAATTGGTTCACTATGACTATATCTCATATAGTACGCAATAATTTTATTAAAATTATCATCCCATTTATTTATTTATATCTTCATATCTTATTAAATTTTTATTTGCGCGCCACTGCTAAGTGTATACACGCCACTCATCGTTCGAAAAGTTTCATGACATCACGCTTTTTCATATTGTCGCACGGTAGCGTGACAATTCGTCCTTAAAGCGTCACGTGAGTAATTTCACATCAGAGCGATCGCTCGCGTTAACGATGATATAAATTAACTTATATCGTGCTATCTTGCTTTAAGGCAGCCTAAGACGCGTATTTGGTTTTAAAGCTAACCGCGTCCATTTTTGGCGCTCCGTGATTGCGATCGCGTTCTCGTTTCGTAACGGAACGAAAAACGCGATGCGTAATTTTAGAAACTAACCGAATATAAACCCGGTTACCACGACGGGGATCTCAAAGAAATTCGGTACGATCCGTATCGACGAGTTTCTCGACTCACGTCCCGCTCTTTCCCAAAGTGGAAGTATCAGAGAGCGCGGCGAGTGGAAACGTACCTTTAAGGTCGGCCCGCTCGTTCATCCCTCTCTCTCTTTCTCTCCACCACCGTGTTTCTCGTGCCGACCACGAACGTTCAACACGTTTCACTCCACTTCGGCCTCCGCCATCCTCATCGCTCTTCGTGTAAGGTCACAGCATCCTGCCTGCCCCCCCTTCTCTCTCTCTCTCTCTCTCTCTCTCTCTTTGTCTCTCCCTTTCTCTCCCGTGTCACGTTAACGTCCCTTGCCATCCTCCGCCGTTCTTTGCCGCTATACACCCGCGCACTTTTTTCTCTCTCCTTCTCTCTCTCTGTCTCGTCTTCTCTTACGCGTGCAACTACCTGCTGTTCGCGATGCGCACACGCGCCCGTCAGTGCATCCCGAGGGAAGGCCTTGGCCTCCCATGGACCTTCTCTTCTTTCATTTATCTATATGTTTCTTTCAGTTCGTTCTGTGAAAAATTCTCCACGTGAGATTTTCTTAAAAAAAAACGTCCGCCTGTATGTAATGTATTATTATCATAATTAATAATTGTTTACATTGCAAAGAGATGATGTGATTATTCTAAATATTACGTATCTTAAATGTCGTTGTTTATATGTTACAAATATATATTTAAATTACACAGGAATACGTATGCTATAATGCATCACGTCCGTAAATATTAAAGGATTACATTTCTCGGCCGCGCAAAATACAATTCAACGAGTTGCAACTTTTAAAAATATAATGATAGCGAATTGAAATGCCCATTTTTTTTATTATAATACGAAATATAAAGTTAATTCATTTTTACGATGTTACAGGGGTATAAATGAAAATTTTATCCAAAGGTCTAATGAAGTTTATTGAGTTGGAGCATGCAAACGAAACAGCAAATATTAATACTGTTTACACCGTTTGAAATCATAAATCTTTCTTTTTATGTTGGATATCCGTAAATCGTGATGCAACTTTTATTCGTCAAATTATTCAACGTTGATGTAAAAATATTATTTCGATCGCTCACAGTAGACGAATGAGTCTATGTGCTACATTCGCCAAGAAGCTAATAGAAAGCTTAAAGTTTCTTCTTTCAAAATATATGTATTACATTTTTTATAGATATAATTTTTCAATGTAAAAACAACTGAAAAATAGAGTTGTAAATCGAACGATCGCCATTTTTTATTTAACCGGATTTATTGAAGGAAAACTGATAGGAGCATTGTAATTTTAATATTTCTAGAACTAGAAACTAGAAACTTAAAATTATAAAGTGCTTTTTAAGTCGCTTTATTATCGTCATTTCTGCCGAAGTTACGGTCTGTTGAATTTTGTATATATTTTATGGTGAAGTAAAAATGCATCTGATCTGTCATTAAGTTTTATTAATTGAAAATAAAATGTACGTCTGACTCGTTGTTGTGTCGTACTACCATCTCGGTTCTTCATGAAAGTCAGTGGCGGCTCGTAGCGGTTCACTTTGAAACTACACTTTAGAATAATTGTTAGTCATGTTAAATTTAGCAAAAGCTGGTCAACAGACTACCCGATTCCATCTAAAGGTATCGTGAAAAGACCGAAAGGCAGAAGCGAGGTTTGAGTCTCGGCTAAACAGGGTTCGAATCTGGGCTATCAATTTGCGATCCGTTACAACCACAAATCCTTTGTATTTTTAGTTCCAAAGTTTCCGCTACGAGCCGCCACTGACTTGAATCGAGGTAGTCCGGGCGTAAAAAGTCGGAAATTTGCTGATATAGCAATTTAACAACTACAAGCAATTCAATTGAAAGTAACTTAGCCTCCTTGGAACACCAGATTAGTATTTCATCAGAAACATCGTTCTCCAAAAACTTCGAGCTGGTCCTTGAAAAATACAATACGTTGTTGTAACTCAACAACGAATCAGACGTACTTTTTCTATTCAAATAATAGGATCAATCGCAAGTCAGACATACTTTTATTCTATCATTAAAACATGCAAAAACTTAACAGACGAAGTGGTATTTTTGCTTCAACATTAAATAACACGATAAAAGGAAATTATATCGCGGTCTGCGAGTCCGCAAATTAAAGCAGAATAATTACGCTTTAAAACGTTATAAACATCACTTATGTGCGATGTTTCATTTACGTTATACAGAACTTCACAAACTTTATTAAATATTTTCACCTTTATTGAACTTCAGCATATATTCATGTAATGTTATAAAAAATAGTT